CAGCACCAGCATCAACACCAGCCCCAGCCCCAGCACCAGCAGCACCACCTTCAGTACAGAAGCTCAGCACTGCTTCTTCACAACTCTGTGACTTGGGGCAAGCAGCTTCACCTCTCTGTGCCTGCTTTTCATCAGTAAGATAGAGATGGCAATAGCGCCAGCTTTGGGTCAGGGAGGGCTTTTGTGAGACCACACAAGCCAGGAAAATGGGACAAAATATGGTCCACAAATGAGACCCCTGAGACTCTGCACCCCAATCCTTGGCCTGTGGGATTCTGACAGGTGCTGAGCCAGGTGCTTTGGGCCCATGCACACACCTGAACCCCCACAATATTTTACTGGCCACTGCAGCCATTTTACAGATGAGGGGGTGGGGCTGAAGAGGCCCTGCCAGTTCCATGGGGGAGCCCAGCCATGCTCCCCACAGGAGGCTGGCTCCAGCTCGCTTTGAAATGCTAAGACGCACCCAAAAGCCTCACTGTTTGATCCACTCATAGAATGCACACAGGCTGGGAACACACTGAGGTCTGACAGCAGGGCGGCACTGCAAGAGACTTGGAAATAGACCACAAATAAAGAATGGCGGCCCTGGTCCTCTGGAGGCTGAGGCCTTAGGGGTTCATGACCATGCTGGGCTACACACTCCTTAACACTGTCTCAAAAAGCAAATACATTTCAAAAGCCAGACCTCAGGATTTTTTCTGACAAACAGCCTGATCTGAAGGCCTGAGAACACTGGTTACCCCAGGGAGGCGGCTTCTACTGGGCAGCCCTCAAGGCCAAGGCCATGCACAGAGCCACGGTCTCCCCTACTCCCTCTTGTCCCCCACCCACCCATTTCACTCTCTGTGTCCAGAAGAGGAGGAGCTGTCCCTAGCTGCAGCTTACCTACAGACAGGGCATCTGACCTGGGTTCTGGAGGGAGAGCTCAGAGAGTCTGCTCCCAGCAGTGGCTGGGGACTCCTAGATTTCCTCACTTGTGCTGACATAGCTCTACAGGGCTCAAGGATACTTCCTCCTCAGAGCCTAACTTTACCTCTCACTCAGAAGGCCGCAGGTCTGAGCCTGGCCAGTAGGACCCCAGAATGCATTGGTCAGCAGACTCCCAGGACTACCGCCCAGGACTTACAAGGCCAAAGGCTCAGGCCATGACCCTAGGCCTCCCATAAGTGGGTTGAAGAGGCCTTGAGAACAGGCCGGGAGGCAAATGCCTGCCAAGCTGCTACAAGCTACGGTCTCTCTCCTCAACCAGGTCTAGAAGAACCCCAACACAGACAGGCTGGCACTAGATAGACAGAGTATCATTTCCTTTGCTTTCTTCTTACTCAGTGAGCACCTGCCTCTACCTCCATGATGTGGGGACCATTGTGGCATGCTTCTCCCTAAGCTCCACTGAGTCCCCCATGCAACCAGACAACACAGTAGGACTGTACAGACATGCCGCCTGTCCCACAGAAAACAACAGGAGGATGGGACGCCAGAGGGAGATCTCCACTCTGGAGCCTATCAGCCACACCACCCAGGGCCTGTGAAAAGGGGGAAAACCTATCTCCATAACCTAGAAGAGGGTGGAGGCATGGGTAGAAAAGAGCCCACGAGAGTGTGAACCTTGGCACCCAAAATTGCACCGTAATCACCAGCCACCACCAGCATCCCCATTACCATTGCTGCAAGCATCTCACCATCAGCACCAGCACCATCAGAATCAGCATCAGCACCATCACTGTTGTCACCATTACTATCAGAGCCACTAGTATCAGCACCATCATCACTATCACCACTATCTCCATCAGCACCGCGCCATCAACATCAGCACCACTAACACCATCAGCAGCAGCAGCACCAGCAGCAGCACTGTTTTACCATCAGAAACATCGCCTGTGGGAACAGCTTCTCTCTGGAGAGGCCTCTTGCCTTGAGAAACCAAACTTTTCCTCTGGCTCTCCAACCAGGTTAATAACTTGCCCTGAGACCACCTGAAGCTATGTCCTTGATCTGTTTCCCTACTGTGTTCTCTGCCTGTTTAACCTGCCTTTAACAAAACCACGTAACCAGCCTTACACACAGCCTTGGATTTCTCGGGCAATCAGCTTTTACAACCCAAGCCAATCATATAGCTTTAATCCTAAATTATGTACTCTCCCACACCTATGACCCAGAATAGTGTGTGTGTATGTGTGTGTGTGTGTGTGTGTGTGTGTGTGTGTGTGTGTGTGCGCGCGCGCACATGTGTACACACTATGGTAATCATTTCTGAAAGCAGCCAGCCAATAAGGTCAAAAGCAACCTTAAGCAAAACAAGCATCCCATAAATGTTAGAAGCAACGTGAGGATATAAATTAATAACATGTCTGCAGTTCCGAGTGCTATTCTGGGTCAGGAGGGGTCAGCAAAGCAACTTCTTCCCTTGTGAAACTCTGTTCCAGATCTCTATGAAAAAGAATCCCTTCGTCCTTTCACATACTCTGTCTCCTGTGCTGCTCAATAAATACAAAGCCGAGCACTTTGTTAGGGACAGACAGACATCAGACACACACAACAGAGAGGCAAAATGACACACACCACAGACAAGACAGAAGAGACAGGAGAGAAGTGGGGGATTCAAACACAGGCTTGCTCTTCATCTAAACTGCCAAGAGGAAGAACATTTTATCCATTAAAGCGGCACTTTAATGGACATCATCCAGTGTCATCCCCTTAGCATCGTCTACATCACCACCGTCACCATCAGCATCAGCACAACCATCGTTGACTCTCACTGTGGAGTTGGAAGTTAGAGGGGGTGAAGGGCCCTGCACAAGTGACACTGACCAGCTGACTAGACAGTTAGAAACAGTGCAGCACGTGGGATTCTCACAGCATCTCATACATGAGGAACTCGATGCTCCAAGAGGCCACATTCCCCCAACTCAAGGCCGAGGCAGTAGGACAGTCTCCACTCTCTGGTGCACAGCTGCCCCAGGAGACCCTCCCGGCTGACTATGGCCACCTCAGGGAGACAATAAGCAAAGCCGGGCCACTTGCCTGCTCCCAAACCACGCAGAATGAGGAGAAAAGAAATCAGGCCTCGAAGCCTACACCCAGGCCACACTTGTCCCTAGCCCTCTTGACCCCACCCATGTCTTGAGGCTCTTTTCAAATAGGGCCTGTGAGGTGCCCACCCAGAGTACCCTGGTACCTGGATGATGTGCGTCATAGGCAGCATACCCCGTCACCAGTGGCAGGCCTGTGGGCAGAGAAAAGAAAGCATGCTCCCACCTGGGCTGGTGCGATGAACACAGCGTGACCTACACACCCCTGGCACTGGTGTTAGCACTGAGGGGAAGATCTCACTCTGTGTGAGCTCTCAGGCTCACACACACAGAAACCCAACAGGGCAGAAGGGACTCCCACAAGTGCTGTGAGATCCTGTCCTCTACCCCAAGGACCTGTCCCAAATCTCACTGGACTATACACAATGACCAGGACTTGTCTCACAAGAGATCCTGGGATCTCAGGCAGCTTTCCCAGAGGCATCCCTGCAGCACAGGGCTGCTTGCAAGACACTAACACCCGCAGCCTTGAAACCTCATAGTCTGCAGGGCCAGCTGCGACCTCCTGGCAGTACCTGTCTTAGCAGCAAAGGGCCAAAGAAGGAAACCAAGGCGCCTAAGAGCCATAAAATTTGCTCACACCGCAGTAGGGGCCCAGGTGAACGACCCTCTAAGGTATCTACAGCCTGAGTGTACCCCCAGATGCTAACAAAAGGGTGAATCCTTTCTTTAACTTTCCGATCCCACTGGGCAGGTTACAGTGTCCTCACTTTATGGACGAGTAAACAGAGGCACTGCCAAGACGTGCAACAGCCCAGTGTGGTTCCAAGCTACTGGCCCCTCCTGACTGGGCTCCCCTCTCCCTTCCCTCCCAAAGGAGGCTGTCTTCTGGCTCTGGAGTGTCCTAAGTGCCTGAACAGAACAGCAAACCTAATGGTGAGCAGGAAGGAGGCATGTGGCTGAGAGCTTGGCCTCCCACAAGTCTCGGGGATGTCAGAAGACTCCTCAGCTTCCTGGGAGTGTTCAAGGAGAGGGGCCAGGCATAAGTCCGTATTGTCGACCAAGACCTTTGTGCCTCCCTGGGAGGCTGCAGTTTGGCTGCCTCAGTCCACGGCTGTGATTGTTCACCCCTCTGGACTCAGCAGATTCTAACAGTGACAAGCACCCGCCCCCCACCATAACATGAAGTGCCTGATGGCTGGCAGTGTGGACCCCACACTCACCTGCACTGGGCTGCTGCACCCACCAGTCAGGGAGGAGCTGGCTCCTGCAGGCCTCTGGAGGGGATGGGCTCCTTTTGGTCATGCCCATGTACTCATCCACAGAAGGCTGTAGGACCAGGTGACAGAAAAGAGCAGTTGAGTCACGGGTCGCCGGCACAGCCCTGCCCCAACCCCAGGTTCGTAAAACCCAGTATCAGACACACAACCAAAGCCACACCTTTATCTCTGCCTCAGTTTGCAGGTCAGAAGACCCACAGGGCTGGCAGTCTAACCAGCTCTGTCGAGGCTACAAGAGAGTTCACCGGCCTTTTGACGCTGGGAGACACGGGCCAACTGTAAGGTAAGCCTGTACGGTGACACAATCCTGCTCGGCTTTGAGAACCTCACTCCACAGGGATCTCAGGCCGTGGTGGGCACATCCAACCTGAAACCTCCTTTGCTTCTGACCCTGGTGTGACCTTACAACCATCTAATTGCTCAGGTGAGTTGGAAAAAAAGGCTTCAGCTGAGAACAGGACAGGTGGAGGCAGAACCTTGCCAGGCCACCCAGAGCACCACAACTGTCATGTGCCACAAAGCTGGGCAGTTTGGGGTGGATGGTGCTGGCTGGCTGTACTGTCCCACGGAGCTGCAGGGTGTATAGCTGATGGGCCGTTGCTAACAATAGTCTTGGTTTTGTTTTGATGATGTCACTGTGCTGGGGATGGAAGCCAGGACTTTGTGCACGCAAGGCAAGCGCTCTACCACAGAGCTTCATCCACAGCCTTTTTCCCCTTTTGATTTCTTTCTTTTTGGCGGTGGGAGAGCATCTATTTCACTTCACAGTTTCCAGGTCACAATCTATCACTGAAGGAAGTTAGGGTGGAAGTTCAAGGCAGAAAGACAGAGACCACGGAGAAGCCAGCTTGCTTGCTTGCTTTTAATTTTTTTTTTCTTTTTCCTCAAGACAGGGTGTCATGAAGTTTCTCACCTTAAATCCATTCTGCAGCTAAGATAGGCCTTAAATTTACCCTGCTCCTGCCTCAGCCTTCGGAGTAACTGAGGTGACAGGGTCTGAGCCACCTAAAGTGCCCTCACCGTGTTTTACATGAGCTGAATAGGGTTGTTTTAGCTATGAAAGTCCCACCTTGTGTAGACATTTAAAAGAATACAATAAGGAGGCTAAAAACAGACACAAAAAGGCCACCTGTTTAAAAAGATCCCATTGCGCCTTCATTTAGTCTTCAGTTACAGGCTACCAACCATGCGTGCGTCAGTGGATTATTCTAAGATCTGTGTTTTGTGTGTGCTGCTGGGAACTAGGCTTCTTGCACACAAGGTGAGCACAGGGTCACCAGCTAGTCCCCGCCACAATTAGTGGGTCCTAGTGATCTCAGTCATTCAATCCAATGGCACATTCAGGAATAACGTGTGTATGTTAAAAAGCAAGCCATCTAGTTGCCAAGGGGGCCAATAGGATGACCAGAAGCAGTGGTGAAGGTCATATTCTAACCCTGAAGCCCAGCTAAGACCACCTGGTCCTCTGCAGAGCGGCTATCCAAGATGTTTGAGTGCGCTCGGAGCTTAACAGAGCACACTTGGAGCCTGACCGGTACAGGGAGGCCGGTCTGCGGAGGGAGCCAATGAGTCCCTCACTCTGCCTCTTCAGAAGAGTATTACTTCCCGGGAGAGCCAGAGGCTCTCACTGCCTGTGAAGGATACAAGCGGTGTCTGTTGCCTGGGAGGCCTCCACTCACCTCTTTGATCAGCTCATCCATCTCTGAGCGGCCACACTCCATCTCCGCAACATCGCTCATGCAGCCTGCAGGTGCCACGCCCAGCTTGCCTATGGGAAAGGGGACCATGACCCAGGGCAGCCAAGCACTGCAACCTTTTTTTTTTTTTTTTTTTTTTAAAAAAAAAAAAAATGCTGAATTAAGGAAACAGAGGTGGTGAGCGTCCTCACTGGTTTTGACCCAGCAGCTGCTGGAAGGTTTGGGAAAGGCTCAGCCGTTCCTTCTCATGGCCTGGTCATCTGATCAGCCAAGTCAAAAGAGAGAAGTGGGTGGTGGGGGTTTGCGAGCACAAGGCTTTTCAAGGACAAGGAGCAGACTTTGGTTTCTTCCTTCTCTCTGAGTCTGTCTGGTACATTTTATACCAGGCGTTTACTGCCCACATACTGAAGATAAGTTTGCTAGTCCAGGTGTTTGAAAATGCCCAGAGACTTCCTGGAAGGTGGGGAGCCAAGTACCAAGAAATCTTTTCAAGTCCTTTCTAAATATATGTGTACACACCCCTGTCACACGGTAAAGTCACTTACATGCTCTGTGTCACAGCCTCCGCCTGCCTCCCAGGGGCCCAGTGCTTTTATCTGACCCATTCAGGTCCAGGTGGTTCTGGCCCACTTTGCACCTCTTCCCTGGTCAGAAGTTTGCCTTGGGAGGTTAACCTCCATGAGATACAGCATTGACCAACCAACCCCTGCCAGGCTACCCACTCCCAGGGACCTGTGCGATCTCCCCATTGCTTCATCCAGATGCAGAGATCCATAGAAGCCATTGCTGGAGCAAAGAGAAGGTAAGAGCTGCCCCCCCCCCCCACCCGTCCAGAGACTGGCAAATCACGAAGTTCATAGTACAGTGTACCAGGACAAACGCTATGCAAATGCTGTGTTCCTCTCTCTGCTCAAGGGCCTGCTGCTCCTTCACCCCACTACTGCAGGTGATGGGGCTCCACCCACACTATAAACAAGTCAGGGTCATCTACCAAGCCAAGCCTGGCTGATCCTGGGGGAGCAGGCCTCTGAGAGAAACTTCCCTATTGCTTCAAATCACTGAGATGACAAACAAGCCGGGAAGGAAGGCTGTTTGACCTTCCGGAGGCAGCACTGAATGGATCAGGCCCTGGGAGCCATGAGGCCAGTCTTCTAGAGAAGGTCATCGTGTGAGCCTTGCCACTGTTACCTATGAGTGTATGAAACCAGGTATCCATCTGCAGGTGACTAAGCTGCAAATGGCCCATCAGCACCACCAATGGCAGCGGAGCCACCTGTGCCAGTCAGGCCTCAGTTAATTCAGCTTCCTCTTTGGGGATTTTGGTTTGGCTTTTGAGAGTGGCCTCACTCTGCAGACCAAGCTGGATTTCAGCATGCAACCCTCCTGCCTTGGCCTTCTGAGTCCTGGGCTCACACACACATACCAACGTACTTCCTATCCCTAACAGACTCACTACATTGCTGTTTCATACTCTCTGACAGGCTTTGTCACCTGTCAGTTCCTGGTGTGTGACATACACTCTGACACAGACTCACTGTATATATGTTTGAGCCATGATTTTTTACTTAAAAAAAAATGTGTCAGCTCTTCAATACCCCCATAGAAGGTTGAAGACAAAGCCAGAATTTGGGTACAGCCTTAAGAATGGTTGCAAGGTACTACCAGACTGCCAGTAAGTTTCTAAGGAAAAAGTCACAACTCCACAATATTCTTGTGGTTGTAAAAAAAAAAAAAAAGGCTTTCAAAGAACCTCACAAACCCATGATGAAGATTAAACAACTGTAATTCTGTACAGGACGCTGGCTTAAAAAGATTCTGAGGTCGGCACTGAGCTCAGCACATTCTGATTGATTAGTGATGTCTGACCAGAGAACAGGCAGAGGCAGTGTGGCAAGTTTGTGCTGTCTCCTGCTTTCATTCCTCTGTGGATGCTTTTAGGACTTTGCTGCTGGAAGAAAGCTCAGGAATGATGTTATCCCCGACAGCAGTCACACCCGCTGAGGCCATCAGTGAGGTCACTGCTGCTGTCTAACTTGAGAACTTTTCACTGGACCTTGCGACCCATCCCTTCCTTGCCCACTGGATCTTCCCTAGCCTCCTCTGCAAACCGCTAGGAAGCAAGGAAAGGAATCCAGCCTCACACCCATTCAGAGGAGTTCACACTGAGCTCCAGGGACTCCGCCAGGTTCCCTGCTCCGAGCCTTGACCCGGAATCAGCCACCCTTCCCTGCCTCCATGCGGCCACTCCCTCTGCAGGAAGCTGCCACTTGACAGCACATGGCGTGTGAGGTCAGCAGACCAGCTCTCTGAGTCTGCTTACACAAGAGACAACAACTTTGGTGAGCTAAAACCAGGCACCCAAACCCTGTGGGGGGAATGCTTGCCCCTGCCCTGTGGAGACCAAGGGCTTCAGGGGGAAGAAGGGGGAAGGGGAGAGAAGGTCCTGGAGGGCTTCCTGGCCCCAACAGATAGTTACATTTTTGCTCTTCCTCAGGGACGATTCGGTAAACTTTGTATGGCTCGGAAATGTCCAGCTGGGATCGATCGGTCACTTCCTCAAAATCTGGGCTCTTGTTCAAAGCACAGCGTAATCTCGTCTTCCACGTGGCTGGCTCAGCTTTGTCCCCCTCTTTAAACTTCCCTTTAAAAACTGCCCAGGCCTGAAGGAAGAAAGAGAAACAGTAAACACGGAGGGACAGGAACCACAGAGCTCACCATGAAGAACAGACTGCACACCCCCTCCTCCCCAGAGACTTTCTTGGCCATCAACTCTTGTCCAAGGTCAGCACTCAATGGGAAGACGACTTTGTCTACTGCATCTCAACAGACTCAGCAGACTAGAGCAGCCAAGAACACTTAGCAAAGCCAGAATTTGAACTCAGGCTCCCCACACCCTAGGATGCATCCTTTGGCAAAAATCCTCCCCTGGCTTGAAGGGCCTGGGGAGCTCATGAAGCTTAAAGAGGAAGGTGTGCATGGCTTCACCAGAATGGTCAAAACAAAGACTTTCTGCTTCTTTTTTTTTTTTCTTCAAATAAAGCCTTGAGCGTGAAAATGGAATATATAAAAACATCTGAATGTGCTCACCGGTCTCTCCGTTTAATAGAAATCATGTTTTTGTTTTTTGGTTTTTTTTTTTGTGTGTGTGTGTGTGTGTGATTCTGGCCTTTTAAAACACAATAAACTGTTCTCCCTCCTAAGTACCTTTTTTTTTTTTAAATGTTTCACTTTTCTGAACTGTCCAAAGCTTATGCTCTAAGGAAAAAAAGAGATTCAAAGCAGTGACCCAGTCAGTGCTTGCCGTGTAAACATGAGGACCCAAATTCAAATCCCCAGCACCCACAGATAAAGCTGGGTATGAGTGCCCGTGATCCCAGCTCTGGGGACATGATGACGCGCTGGCAGCCAATCTAGCCAGCGAGTCCAGGTTCCGTGAGCAACTTCGTCTAAAGAACCAAGGTGGAAGGACATGGACAGTCACCCAACACGGACCTCCGGCTTCCAGATGTCCATGCACATACGTACCTACTGTGTGTGGGTTAGGGGGCCCGTTTACGTTCAAGGCCAATGCTCTCTGCACTGTTGATGCCAAATTCTGTCTCTCTGCTCAGAAAGAAGCTGGAAGAACATTCCCACCACTGAGCCTGAGTGGCCACTTCCTCTCTGACACAGTGGCAAACCCACTTTTAGACATGTGTTTTTAAGAAGACGGTTTCCAGTCTGGCCTCTCTTATTAACTGCATTGCTGGCCATATGCGTGCTTGGGACTGTTGTGAATTCAAGAGCTGGCAGACTGGGACCGTGACTCCAGGGCTGGGATCACTGGGAAGTTTCTGCCTCTTTGCCACTGATGCCGAGAGCTGTCTCTGCGGAACGAGCATCCTACAGTGTCTAAAGCATTTTCCAGCAGTACCTCTCCCTGGGTACAGCAACCCTGGAACTTCTTCCAGGGGTGTGAAGACCCCCTCTCTAAATCACTGCATGAACCCGCACTCCAATGGCACCTGAACAGACACAGACACTGCAGGAAAGTGTCAGTCAGTGGGCACCTGACGGAACCGTGGTGTCTCAGCATCACTGCCCTGTTCATTCCTTCACTCTGGGCTCATCCTTCCTCTGTGAAGAAAGCCTGGAGGCCCCAACCATCAAATCAGAGCTCACAGTCAGGAAGCAGCCTGAGACACCACTGGATACCACCACGGGCCAGCCCTGAGCCTGGCCACATCTAGTCAGACACCAGCTCCAAAGCATGGTCCCAGCTGCATGGTCTCTCAGGGGAACCCAGAGCTGAAGATACAGGGTGGGTGGTCCTGGGACCCACGCAGCACCCACTGCTTGAAGTTGTTCTCGGCTGACATTGGGCTGTATCACACTTTAAAAATGAACACTAGGCATATACCTCAGGGCTTGCCTAGCGTGCATGAAGCTTGGGTTCAGTCCTCAACACCATGTAAAGCAGGTATGGTGGCCCACAGCAGTAACCCAAGGGCTCAGGTGGTAGAGACAGGAGGATCAGAAGTTCAAGGTCACCGTCAGCAAGTTTAAGATCAGCCTGAACTACATTAAGTCCCGGACTCAAACTAAAACAATAAAATAAAAATTAACACCTATTTCGACCTTCAAGGCCCTCTGTTGCACTGAGTTACAAGTAGTTAGACCTATCATGAGCAGGGCCCAAGGAATCTCAGCCCTTGCCTGATTGACATGAGCTTAGTTATCTTTTTCATTCTCCATCTGTGGTCTACACAGGAAGGAGGCCCCAAGACGCTGCCTGCAGACAGCACAAGGCTCTCTGGTGCAATCCCTTTCCCCAGTAGAAAAGCAAGCATGTACCTTTTCCTTAGCACCTACATTTTTTTAAAGGTTTTAACTGCCGGAGGATAGCAGGTTTCTTACTTAAGCAGATCGCCCCTACGATGGCTGTATCTACCCAAAGCCTCAGCACAGGCTGTTCCTTCAACAGCCAAGTTGTATTTGGCTGATGACGCAGAGATGCCCCGCCCCGCCCCCAGGACAGCTCAGAGAAGACCCTCCGTGCCCTGTGACTCCCAGCCTGTCACCCTCCTGCTGCTTGCCTCCCCGATCCCACCAGGGGACCCGTTCATCTCCCGCCATTCCTGCCGAGATTGGTGTCTCATTTCGGATTGCCACACAGAGCGACTGCGTAACGAACGGAAACGTCGGGAATCTTGCGCATTCTCCCCAGCAGGCACTGTTGAAACGGCTTGTTGGCCGCGAGGAGCGTTGCATAAGATGTATAAATCTGGGGCTTTATTTCAGGACCCCTCGTTCGTTGAAGCAGGGAGCTGGCTGAGAGACCTGCTGTCTCCTGCCACAAGCGAGGCCCCTGGTCCTCCGCCCTTTCTCTGGAAGGAGAACACCCTGTGCCTCAAGGTTCAGTGTCATCCCTAGTCACCACCTGGTCCGCTCAGAGTTCTCCCTGCAAAGGGCAGGCCGTGCCCCTGGAGTGCAGCACCCGGGACAGTTTTGGCAGCCACAGTCTCTGCAGGCCGTGCTCCGCCCTGGATCGCAGTCTTGAGTCAGTTTCTGGTCCTCAGCAGCTCAGTCTGCCTCGTGGCCCTCACACCCTTCCTCCCCACCCCGAGCTCCCCACAACTCGAAGAACTAATGGCAGCGGTTTGCAACCTGGGCTCCGGGTCAGACCACCAAGGTCGAAGCTGTTCACAAAGTAGAAGTATGGGTTGACCTTGACCTAGGGCCCTGAAACTCCCAGAGTGGAATGGAGATGCCTGAGGCTTTGAAACACCCATAGGTAACCATGACTGCTCACAGGGCAATGCCTGCCCTGGCTGGGCTGGGCCTGTCCCTAGAGAAATTACCCTACTTCTCAGTACTATAGAGTTAAGACCTTGGACCACCTGGTCCCAAATGCTGGCTACATCACCCAGGAGCCAGGAGACCCTGGAGAAGCCACTTTTCCCCTAAGTGGTCTAATGCAAACAGGAATATCACCTGCCACACAGGGTGAGATTGAGGGAAAAAAACAACAACAACAATTCAAGCCAATTCTCACCCCAGCTGTTTGACCTGCCCTCAGTGACAGCACTTAACTCCTCTCCTAAGGGGAAAGGTTAAGTGCAAGCTCAGGATGCCCCTCGAACCTGACCCAGAAGCAATGATGGAAACCTGTCACCCTTCTAGCTGGTCCCATCGTGCCAAGGAGTCATACTTGGAAAGGGTGAAGACTGAAGCCTTCCTAGTACACTGAGCAGAGCTGAGCTGTTCATGGAGGCAAAGGGGTGCAGAGCAGGTAGCAAAGGCACTCGACCTCATGGGGGAACATGCCAGATCCCAGCAACTAGCATTTCTCTTAAGATACTGGGTTAATTCTTTAGTCATCAGGACACTCCTAAATACCTCTAGAGCCAGAGAGAAACCAGAAACCGCAGCGTGGGGACGCTGGGGTGGGGGTGGGGAACTTTACCTTGAAGATGGAAGCATCCACTTCCTGATTGTAATCCTGCTTGCCGGCGTGCTTCCAAGGGATACGGAACATGGTCTTCTCATCGTTCTCCCAGATCAGCCCCGGGTACATACCGCTGTCAATCTGCTCTATCAACCACTGCCGGAGCCGCCTCCCGCCATTCCTGTCACACATCCTTGGAAAGAAACAAACCTTTCGTGTAACAACTGCAACTTCATGAGCCAGAGCGACCCCAGAACTGACAGGAAGATCAGAGGTCCACACAAAGGTGCTGGCTTCGCAGAAATCTGGACCAGTGCAGGGAGGAAACAGCGGTGCCCCCGTGACCCTAAACCCAAATGAAACCTGGAAGCCTGAGGAACCCAGAGCTGCCTGTCCACAGATGTGGCCCACCCACAGCTCTGGCTGTGATCCCAGCTGGCCCCACACCTCCTGTTTCAGACACTGTGGGCACCTGCTCTCACATGATGCAGTACTTCCTATGAGCTGCCCACCGCTCTGAGAACTGTCCTGACATCTGGTGCCCAGGGAACCATTGCTCTTGACACACTTTGACCCCAGCACCACCTGAGAAAGAGGACAGCACCCCTGCCCAAGGCTACTTGAAGGTTGCCTTTCCCAGCTAGGTATTGACAGACATATAAGACAGTCCAGGGTCCTGTTCCCACTGGAGCTGGAGGCATGTTCCAGCTGGGTGACCTTGAAGCCATTTAACCTTGGCGTGTTGGGGATTCATACTAGGTGATGTGTGTAAGGTGCCTACATCAGGACCTGTGCCCTAGAGGACTCCTCCTACAACCCTAATCCTCAGGGACTTATGACCAAACCTAGGTGAGAAGTAAGGGACACTACAAAGCCAGTTCAGGGCTCCAAATCCAAGCTCTACCATCCCCAGACACCTAACGGAACCCATGGACATCCTCACCAGCACTGTCAGGTAGCTCTCCCTACAGCCTGAGGAAAGCGAACATTTGTGCCCAGAGACTTGCAGCCAGCACTTACTAGAACAGCCTGGAAATCCCCAAGGCAGTTGGACAGATGCCCACCCCAAAAACTAGAACACAGCATTTCTAGTCTTCCAACTAAAATGTGACCTCGGGGCAGGGAAAGAACGAAGTAATCAGCAGTGAGAAGACATGATGTCCCCAAGAACATGGTCATATCAAGAGCCAGCATGTCCCACAAAGCAAAATCAGAACGTCTGGAAAGAGGTGTGCAGTTCAGAACCTCCAGACCACGGCAGGTGGCAGCGGGTACAGGAAAGCAGGCAGCATCCTGAGGAGAGGGAGGTGAGGCCTCCCCGGGGCTGGCTTTAGCTTCTCTACCCAGCAGACGCAGCTGCCACCTGTGGAGCCTGGAAAAGTGGGTGAGGGCTGAAGCAGAGTCAGACTCCATCTGGTTTTGTCTTTATTCTTCAGACAGGGTCTCGAATACCAGGCTGATCTCCAACTCCCCAGGCAGATGAAGATGGCTTCGGACTCCCGATCTTCGTGCCTCCACTTCCCCCTTGCTGGGGACTGGACTTGCCTAGCTTGTGCGCGCTAGGCAAGTGCTTGGCCACCTGAGCCACATCTCAAGCAAAACAGCCCTTTGGGTGGGAAACCCTGACCTCAGCTTTCCACCTTGGAAAGCCATTGGCTCCTCAGTCTGAGGACCCTCATCAGAAAAGCAGGGGAAGAGGGGATATCTCAAGAAACCCAGAATTCTAACACCACCAGGTGCTCCCCCCCAAAAAACACAAGAAGGGTGCTGGCTCCTACAGCTTCTTCTGGGAAGGAGAGAGGAGGCTCTCCTGGCTTGATAGTGTTTTATGTGGGCTGTAAGGATGAGTGTGGGGTGGGAGCGGGGGTGGGAAGATGTCCCAGAATACAACAGATGTCCCGATGTCTGAGGCTATGTCAACTAAAAGCTTCAACTCAACCCCCGGAGATGCGTTTGTAAACCATAGCCACAGTCACTGCACCTCCAGAAATCTAAAGACTTCACAGGCATGGCTGGAGATTTTTCTAGAAAAGAAACAGCACTTTCCCATCAGGGTTCCTCAGGTGTCCAACACCCAGAACTGTGAAGGACAGCTGTCTTAGCGGGTAACAGACAAGAAAAGGGGATCACTGAAAGGAAAGGTGAATCACAGACCACAAAAGCCTCTAATGCAGCCCCCTCAAAAGAGGAGATGGTGGAAAGGACAGCCATCCCCTGGACACTGCACAAGCCATTAGCACTGTCCCCAGCTCCCAGAAGTGGTGCTTTCGTTCATTCTACAGACAAAAGCCTCACCTAGGTCCACCTCTCAGCACGTGGACAATCCCTTCTACTCCCTTTGCAGTCACCTCCGAGGTCCTAGGCAGGCAGAGCCTGACTCCTCTTACAACTTTGGACAGCAATGGTTTATAAACATGGTCACATGATCATGGCTTCCTCTTCTTGATTTTGAGGTATCATCCCCTCTTTCTCTGCCCAGTCCTGTCCGAGGCCAACCTGCAGCGATGTGTCCTGGCGGACTTCTCACTAGCCAGGTAACACCAGGCAGCGGAGGCTCGGACATCAGCACCTGCATCAGCCGAGCGTGACGGAGCTCACACCACCCAGCAGCTTTCCTTCAGCCCTGGACGCCACTCTGGCTCCCACTAAGCGGAAAGCCATCACAGCCATTTCTCTCTCGGACTCCAAGCTTCCTCAAGCCACTGAATCACTCGCAGTTCTTCCTGAAGGAGCCTAACCTAATGTAAAAGGGCAAACCTAGATCTCTCATGTCCCTGTTCCTCTCTGGCTTTAAAAGGAAAAGAGCAGGGGTCACTGGGCACGGTGGCTCTGCCTGAAATCCTAAGACTCAGGAAGATGAGATGGAACAGTCACCAGGAGTTCGGAAAGAGCCCGGGCTACAGAGTGACATCCTGTTTCCAAACAAACAGCAAACAAAAACAACAACAAGCAAAAAATGTGATCTACAGAAGACCATTTAAAAATTCTAGAACATTTTTGGCTAGCGTCTGCTACTTCCTACCCCCTGAACCTTTTCCCAGCTATGGGTAAGTAATCTTTCTCACCCGGGGAAAAGCCTGCCCTTACAGCCTGAGGCCAAGCTCACAGCAAACCAGTCCTGGGAGTTGTGACCCACAGGGAACCTAACTTTCCTGCCCAGGCCAGCTAGGCTACCTACCAGGCAGTCAAAGAGGTCCAGCGCCACTGGGCAATCAGACTGCCACTCATCAAAATCAAAGCCAGTCGGTTCCTGGGTGAGCCCACCCGCTGGCTTTGGCTGGCTCACTCCTGGTAGCTGGGCTGCCACGGTGACTGGCAGGTCTTATATTACAGGCGGGGTCCCTATTTCTCACTAAGTCGCCCATCAGGCAGATTTTAAAGGGAAAGGTTGGCTTCTTGTTGTTTGTTTAGGAAGCAGCTAGTGTTCAGGAGCAAACACCTGCTAACATGCTGTACACTCCGTCTGAGCGCAAGCGGGAGAGACACAGGCCCGGCCCGCGCGCCCACCCCATCACATCCTACCTGCCGCTTGCTCCCACGCTACCCGCGCCTCGGCGACCGGCCGCGGGCTCCTGGGTCCGCGCAGGGGCGCGCCTTTAAGGACGGGCGGGGGCCGGGGCGGGGCCCGCGCGCGGAGCGACGGGCGAGCGAGCTAATAGGGCGCGGGAGGGGTGCGAGAGGGGCGCGGGCACCGCCCAATCAGCGCAGCCCGCTGGGTCCGCCTTCTCTGAAGCGCTCGCCTTTCCGAGAAATCACTTCTGCACGTCTCGGGGCCCCACTGAGCCCCTTTTCTCTCTTTATCTGGGGGCGGCGCGGGAGGGGGCTGTCCCGAGGAGAGCCGGGGATGGGAGTGGGGGCGGAGTAGGGGGCTGGGGCGTCTGTCCAAGGTCAAGGAGGCTGGTGGTGCTCAGATCATCCTGGGGTGTCGCTCAGGTCCCCAGTCCCGAGCACGTGTCTAGCCTAGGGACGCCCTGCGTGTCACCTGCTCGGGTTGGGTTGCAGAGCAAAGGCCGGTCCCAGAGCTGCGTGCTGGACGACAGCTGCCGCTTGCCGCAGCCCTCGTGGATGATGACCGCCTGAAATTGCCGAGGAAACTGGAGAAACCAGGGGAGTCGCACGCGCTGGGGCTGCGATTTCCCCCAGGAAGGCGCTGCAGCTTATGCCCCCAGGGGTGTCGGGAACCGCGCCACGCCTGTTCTCGGCCTGAATGGTAGGGGCGTGGAGGCATAAGTGGGGTCGTGATGGGCTTTTATTGCCTGCTGCCCAATCACACACCTGTGGCCACGTTCACCAGGCTCTCATTGGTCTGGCTTTTAAAAGACTTAGGAAAAGATTGGAGTCCGGACAAGAATGTTTTCCTTGGTCCCAAATACAAGCAAGTGCATGGCTAAGTTTCAAATAAATAGGAATTCAAATAAAAATTTTTTTCAAACAGATCCTCCTAACTATAATTTATCCTGATCAGTATCGTGGTATACCTGAAATGCATTTGTGAAATATAGATTGGCAGTTGTTAAGTCAATGATAAGTTCTGTCCAAAAGTCAGGAGCCAAGTGGAATTCCCTGGGGCCAAAGAATTTCAAATGAAAACTACTTTTCAAAGCTCAATAATAATAATAACAATAATTATTGTTGTTGTTATTACCTGAAACTTGCTCTGTAGACCAGGCTGGCCTCAAACTCATAGAGATCCACCTGCCTCCCAAGTACCGGGATTAAAGGTGTGTGCCAGCTCAAATCTTTAGGTGCAGTGTGGGAGTGTTTTTACGTGTTGGCTGTGGTGAAAGGGGGAGTCTTGAACTCCGAGCCCCCGGGAGATTTCTGCAGCAGACTCCCGTGTGCATTTATACACGCTTCTTTTCCCTACTCCGTCCCTTTACAAGCTTATTCGGGTCTTCCAACAAATGTCATCAGAGGCACGGAACAGAACTCAAATGTCCACCCGGCGTGCCTGCCTCTTAGCTAAAGGTAGAGAGGGATAAGGGAAGCTATATGCATTCAAGGGTAGGGGATGCCTAGTCTCTTCTTGTTAAACGTTCTCTTAGAAGTCTGAACTATATTCCCTGACAGCACAGGTCTCCACTCAGCCCTGAGAGAACCCATGCCACTTGCAATGGGCACTGACTCATACCTGAACACTAGCAGGGTCTTTGCGGGTGAAGCCATGAAGGTGGTGTCTCACGTGAGACACTGAGACACATGTAAAATTCCTACATGCCAGAGACAGCCGCTCAGGAGGGGCTTGGTGTAGGATCCTGCCTGTCAGAGCCTCCCAAGAGAGAGGAACCTTGGGAAATGAGGCGTGGTCACATCTCAGAGGTGGAGCCAGGTCACAACACCACATCGAAGAAGAGGCTTCTGCAGGGCTTACCTCAGAAGAACACCCAAATGTTCTGGAGAGGCCATCACCACCACCCAGCTCCCTCCCTTAAGGAGAGGCAGCTGAATGGGCTCTAGCCCCAGAAGCACACCCTGCCCAGTGAGACCTTCTCACTGCTGCGCACAGGTTGCCTAGGACTCCTCTGAGCTCCTTGGCATGGGCATTGTCATCAAGTCTGCCTCTTCCTGTCTCACCACCAGTCTCTGTCAATCTGTCTGTCTGTCTGTCTGTCTGTCTCTCTCTCTCTCTCTCTCACACACACACACACACGTAAAAGACTGCCTCCTCTCTCCTCACTATCTATGGCCACTGAAACTAAAGCAGGCATTCCTCACCCACAGGTGTCAAAGGGCTATGGTCAAGGTGTCAGCAGGGCTTCTGAGGAGAATTGGGGAGAATCGGTACCCACAGACATTCCCCTCCACAGGCGTTCTCTTCCACAGATATTCTTGGCTCATGAGCTCATTCATCTCCAAAACCAGCAATGACCAGGCAAGTCCTCCCCATGTCCAATCACGTCCCTGGCTCTCCTCCACAACCTCCCTGTTCCACGAAAGACAGTGGTTCTCAACCTGCAGGTTGTGACCCCTTTCACAGGGTCACCTAAGACCATCTGCATATCAGATTACTATTCATAGAAGTAGCAAGATTACAGTTATGAAGTAGCAATGAAAATAATTGTATGGCTGGGGGTCACCAAAACATGTGTTAACGGGGCACAGCATTAGGAATGTTGGGGACCACAGCACTAAGATCTTTGTGACTGCGTTGGGCTCAGCGGGATGATCCAGGGTCATCGCCACAGTTAAAGTCAGCTGAGTATCATCAGCCCCTGACATCATTCCTGGTTCTGTGGATTTTGACTTGGGCATCTTTGAGGGGCCATTGTTCTCCTGCTGCCCCATCGGGCTGCTTTCCTATGGCAGCCTTCATGGATGTTAATCTTTAAAACCCAGATTCCAGCTACACTGACACCTTTAACAAAGCGCATTGCACACTTGTTACATTTGTTTATTTTAAATGTGTGTGTATATGAGAGTGTGTGCATGCACACACACTTGTGAGTATCAACAGAGTCCAGAAGAGGGCATCGGATCCCCTGGAGCTAGAGCTACAGACAGTTGTGAGCTGCTAGACATGCTGCTAGGAACCCCATTGGACTGCAGGGGTGGACCTGGGGAGGAGAGAAAGGCATTGAAGAATGCAGCCTTTGGGGTCACACATACAGGGGATCACTAGGAAGCACATTCACTGTGCAGTCTCCCTGCACAGGAGAGGGGATTGGCAGAGCTTGCTTCAGCAGGACACAAGAGACTTTGACCATGAACAGAGAGAGGTAAGTTGAACTGCCTTAAAATTAAGAACTGTGTTCCTGGGGCTGGAGAGGTGGCTCAGGGGCTAAGCGCACTCGTTTTTCAGGAAGACACTAGTTTAGTTCCCAACACCCAAGTCAGGAAGCTTATAACTGCATGGAACTACAGCTCCCAGGAATCCAACACCCTCTACTAACCTCTGTAAGGGCATGCACGCATGCGCGCGCGCGCACACACACACACACACACACACACACACACACACACACATACACTAAATTAAAATGTGAACTGGCATTCTGAGTGTAGGTGGAGACAAGTCTGGAGAGACACCATTTGGTGTAGAAAGAGCGTCTAAGCCAGAGATGGTGGGGCACTGGATTCACTCAGGAAGTTGAGGCAGGGGGATTGGATTCATGTGCGGCCTGAGCTACACACTGAGCCTCTGTCTCAAAAAGAAAAAGAAAGGACTTCAACTCAGAACATTTTTAAAAAATTCCTGTGAGTCAATAAGAGAAGACAAACTGAGCTGAAATACAGCTCTGTGGTAGAGGCCTTGCAAACCAAGCAGGGGCCCTGAGTTCCAGAACAAGCACGAAGAGAGAAAGATAACTTCCCATGTTAACCAGCACATGCTAATTCCTCACTTCCCAAGAAGAACGCTGTGCTATGAGGACCTTTTCTCTGGCCAGATCCCAGAGGTCAGTTCATACTTGTTTGTACACTCCTCCTCAGAGCACACCTCAGAGACGGCCTTGGCTCACCAGCCCCTGGACTGTCACAGTGCTAATCACCTGGCTACAAAGGCTTTCTGGAGAGCTGGTTGAGGAACTGTTTCTGGCTCTAGGGCAGTCACTAAGCATCCATGGTTTACCCTCTCTGACCCAGGCAAGTGTTCAGGATTTTTTTTTTCCCCAAAATTATTTATTTGCATAAAACTGACTGACTATGGAGTAACTAATGGTCTCAAAACATCTTTGTGAAAAAGACACAAAACAAATGACAACTTTGAGTTGGTCCCTCTTTTTTTTCTCTCTCTCTCTTTGTTTTTCTAAAACAGGGTTCTCTGTGTATTCTTGGCTGTCCTGGATTCGCTTCATAGACCAGGCTGGCCTCAAACTCAGAGCTCCACCTGCATCTGCCTCCCAGAGTGCTGGGATTAAAGGCGTGTGCCACGATGCCTGGCTATTAATAAAGTATCTTAACTTACTAAGCCCTGAATGCATAGGCTTTTCTCCAGTGAGCAAACTGGAAGAGAGGGAGAGAGGGAATGAGTGACAAAGAAAGGAAAGGAGAGAGAGAGAAGGGAGAGAGGAGAGAGGGAGGGAGGGAGGGAGGGAGGGAGGGAGGGAGGGAGGGAGAGAAGGAAAAAGGAAGAGAGGAAGAAAAAAGGTCAAACAGCCACGGCGCTAAGGATAGCAGAGAAACCTGGTGAAATTGTCAAAACCTCACCCAGGAACGCACAAACTGAAGCTGACAATAAGGTAATGCTGCCCATTCCCCAAAATAACTAGAACTCTAACGTGACAGTACAGATCCTGGAGAAGCTATGGAGTGATGGAACTGTCATTTCTTTCAAGCGCTTTGGCAAACAGGTGGAACCTCCTCTAAGCCAGGGAAGCCAGCTGCTACACACACCCCAGATTGGTGAGGGCAGGAAGTCCACACAGACTGCGTGAAGCTACATTCACACACCCTAAACTTCAGACCAGGCCAGGGCTGTAGCTCAGCTGGTAAGACTCTTACCTAGGCACAAAGCCTTGGGTTTGGTTCCCAGCACTGCATAAGCCAGGCATGCTGGCACAGGCCTGTAATCCTAGCACTCAGGAGACAGAGGCCGGAAAGTCAGAAGTTCAAGATCATCC